AAACAGCCTCAGGCAGGTCCTTCAGGAGGAATTCTAAAAGAAGGCATTGCTACCATAGGAGATAGCTTCATGCCTATTATGAAGACCTTCCAGTGGGACAAGATGTGAAGGTAGAAGACAGTGACACTAATGATCCTGACCCTGTGTCAGCCTAGGGTAATATGTGTGTTTATCTGTTAGGTTTTAACAAAAAAGTTTAAAAAGAAAAAAAAAAAAAACATTAAAAATAGAAAAAATATTATAGGGTAAGGACATAAAGGAAAAAAATATTTTTCTATAGCCATAAATGTATTTGTGTTTTGCGCTAAATGTTATTTACAAAACAGTAAAAAGCTAAGAAAAAAAGTATAAAATTTATAAAGTAAAAAAGTTACAGTAATCTATGGTTACTTTATTACTGAAGAAAGAAAACTATCTGTTTATAAATTCAGTGTGCTTCCGCCTAAGTGTACAGTGTTTATAAAGTCTACAGTAGTGCACAGTAACGTCCTACACCTTCACATTCTCTGGCCACTCACTCGCTGGCTCACCCAGAGCAACTTCCAGTCCTGTAAGCTCCATTGATGGTAAGTGCCTTATACAGGCGTACTATTTTTAATATTTTATACCATATTTTACTATATTTTCTCTATGTTTGTGTATGTTTAGATATACACATACTTGCCATTGTGTTACAAATGCCTATAGTATGTAGTACAGTAACATGCTGTAAAAATTTTCTAACCTGGAAGCCATAAGGCTACACCATACAGTCTAGGTGTGCCGTAGGCTCTTCCATCTGGGCTCGTGTAAGGACACTCTATGATGTTCTCATGAAGATGGGATCAACTGATGATGTATTTCTCAGAAAGTATCCCTACTGTTAAGTAACACATGACTGTACTAAAAGCTGATGTGAAAAGAGATGAGAAAATAAAAGAAAAACCAAAAAGTTATGTGGCTCACTCACCCCCATCACCTAGTAAGCAGTAAGGCCTAGAACTCTCATGTATCTGAATGCTAATCTTCCACTTCTCCAATCACACCACGCTGTGCCTATACCTGCATTTTGGGCAAACAGGGACTTCAGTGGAAGTCTTTTCCTGCTGATTTAATTATATGACTTTGATGTGTCCCATGGGCACAGACTGAAGCACGGTCTTTGGACTCTGACTTCTCCTTTGTGAGGTGGCAATTTATTTTAGACACTCAGTTTAATAAGTTTTTCTGAATGTACAATCCCACCTGTGCGAAACCCGCGACTGGTGTCATCGTGATCCTTTGGCACGATGTTCGAGTCTACATGATAGATCTGGTCTAAATTATCAGAGCTTTTTGAGCTTACAGAATTTTCCCAAAAGGTGTGTGCTTTTAAAAACAAATGAATGGGCACTAACTGTCTGGCATAGTCACAATAATTGGTTGAATCAGTTCAAAGCTATGAGTTGGATTTTCCATAATCCGAACTACCTCTTCTCTCTTTTAAAAAAATGGCTCTTCCTATATACCTTTCTAAGCAACCCTCCCACTCCTCATCGCTCACATTCTGCTGCTTTTGAAAATAGTGGATGTATCTATGAAGCCACTGGGGGGAAAAAAAACCAGGCAGACTACCACTATTAACGTGTATGCTGCAATGAACACACAATCAGAGGGCGAGAGTTGTTATATGATTCCTTCTCGTGCAATACAAAACCCGATTTCCTTAATTGCCTGTGCTTAAGGGTAATGTCAGCTTGTATGGCTTACCGTTTTATACTGATGGGAGAATATTAAGTTACTAATGGCACAAGTCAATAAAAAATTCATAGGCCATGAACCAGCATGTTAGAAAAAGAACAGAATTGGCAAGTGATAGCATTAATTTATGAAATTTCACATTTCAGATACCTGACTCTTATACAGAGATGACTTTATGCCTTCTGTAAAACCTATCAGGGCCATGTAAATCATGAGAGTTAAATTACATTATAAACTCGAATGTTCTTAACGCCAAGTTCTTCTTAACGAAAGCAGCAATCTGGCTCGGTCTTAGTGAGTGTTTCTTTGTGACTGTTTGATGCGTGTTACAATCTACTTTGGATTTTCAGCCTTTCACTACACATTTATTTAGCATTAGCTAAAACAGAGGGCATTGTATTAGGTAAGCTATTATGAAAGCTTATAAATCAGCTGATAAATCAACCGCAAGCACAGTTATCTACATTATATAGCAAAGGTAACTAATTTGGATTCTTTACCTAAAATTGAAAGTCAAGAGGACAGCTGGGCCAGGCGCGGTGGCTCACGCCTGTAATCCTAGCACTCTGGGAGGCCGAGGCTGGTGGATTGCTTGAGGTCAGGAGTTCAAAACCAGCCTGAGCAAGAGCAAGATCCCGTCTCTACTATAAATAGAAAGAAACTAATTGGCCAACTAATATATATAGAAAAAATAAGCCAGGTGTGGTGGCGCATGCCTGTAGTCCCAGCTACTCGGGAGGCTGAGGCAGGAGGATCGCTTGAGCCCAGGAGTTTGAGGTTGCTGTGAGCTAGGCTGACGCCATGGCACTCACTCTAGCCTGGGCAACAAAGCGAGACTCTGTCTCAAAAAAAAAAAAAAAAAGAGGACAGCTGGATTAAAAGAGAAGCCTTTCCCAGATTGAATAAGGGGTCTTTATGAAGGTAATGTGTTAGCCTTTTGGCCTTTCAAAGCTTGCTGCCCAAGGAAGGGGAAACTATAGGAGACCCCAGGTATGGGGTAGAGAACTGACCGACAATACTGGCCTTCTCCTGTTGTGACAGAAGATATTAGTGACAACTCTTTTTTTTTTAAAAAAAAATGGGCATTGAAAACAATAGTAAAAGACATGTAGCAGTGTAGTCGCCCCTTCTCCCATAAATATGGAAGCATAAAACTGAGAGTGGGAATATGTAACAGAGGAAACGGCCTGAAAAAAAAAATGGCAAAAGATGTTTTCTGTCTCTTTAAAACTTCCCCCATTGTTTTGGGGAACTGAGGCCTGCATCCCTGCCTCAGGAGGGTGGTCAGGAGGGGCAGAGGAATGTCGTTTGTTGCTTCTGTTACAGGAGATAGCTCAGCTGAACCCTGGCTCCATCCCAGGCCCAGTGCCTGGCTGGAGGAGGAGGAGGTCTGGGTGGACCTCCCAGGTGGGTGGAGGCCACAGGCATCGTCTTCAGCTGAGATGCGACCACTAGAACCATTATCAGTGGTTAAATGACAATAGCCTAGAATTGGGGCCCTCTCTTTAAAAGCTCTGTATGTCTGCTTATGGACAGGAATTTGGATTTTGAGAGAATAGTCTATCTACCATTTTCCTCCTTTGCCGGGAAAGTAATAAACTAACTTCTCTTCCCTTCTCCTCAAACCACTTGTTCTCATTCTTCTGATGTGATCTCTATAGGCAACAGAAATGCTAACAAGTTGTAGCAATGGCTAAAGTTTTCAAAAGCCTTGAATTAGTCAGAACAATTAGAAAAGTAGGACTTCCAAAATGATATAAAAAGCATGATAGAAAATCAAGAGGATACTGAAATTATACTGAATTGTGGCTAGGTATAGAACCATCTCAATTTTCTTTTAAAAGTTTTCTTTTTTTTTTTTTTTATTAGTTTCCCAAGGCTGTTGTAACAAAGTACTACAGACTGGGTGGCTTAAAACAAACAGAAATTTATCCTCTCACACTTCTGAAATCTGGAAGTCTGAAATCAAGGTTTTTCCAGGGCCATGCTCCCTCCAAAATCTCTAAGAGAAGAATTTCCTTTGCCTCTTCCAGCTGCTGGTAGCCTCAGGCATCCCTTGGCTTGTGGCAGCATGACTCCAATCTCTGCCTCCCTGGTCACAGGGCCATCTCTCCTCTGTGTCTGGGCTTCATATGGTGTTCTCTCTGTGTCTGGTGTCCAAACTGCCTTATTTGATAGGGACACCAGTTATGATTAGGGCCCAGACTATTCCAAAATGACCTCATGTGAATTTAACTACTTTTGCAATATGCCAATTTACAAATAGGGCTGGGCATTATGTATTGGGCATTATGTATTGGGCATTATGCATTGAATTGGGACACGATTCAACTCATAACACCATCCTTTTGAGTTGTATATGATCCTAATACACTATTATGCCTATGAATACATATACATACATTTAATAAGAAATCTTTGCCAAATGACCATAGTTGAGTTGACTGTCATGTTGTTTTCTGCTTTAGTGATTCCTACATGTTAAGTCCATAAGGCCAAAACCCAGACTTGACTATCCACCACTGACACCTTAACCAAAGAGAATGAAGCTGCCATACAGTCCATATAAACAGACCTGAAGTGGAGGCTGGCCTTGCAATTCCCAGATGTTCTGTCAGGCTTATTGTTAGTCTGAGTGGCTCACCAGCACTGAGCCACTTCTTAACTGTTCTCCTGAAAGTATCAATGCTTCCTTTAAGCCTGTAATTGTTTGTCATGTGGAACCATCCCAAAAGCAGAAGGCGATGGAATGGAACACTAGAAAGCATTTGTGCTGTGGAGATACACAGATCTGGTCTTGAAGTTCCACCACTAACTACCTGAGTGACTATGATCACGTTAACAAACTTTTCAGATCCTTGGTTTGTGTACCTGAAAAATGAAGAGTCTCACTACAAATGCCTGGTCCAATTGTAAGGATTAATTGGGATGAAACACCTGGATAAGACATTTTCAAATGTAAAATCTTCCCACTTCATCATAAATATGTCACGTCAAAAATAAACACCTGCATAAGAAAACTTTCCTTTCCACGGGATATCAACAGCAAAATTGTCACAAAGAATATCACTTAGTATAAATACAGCACACATCAAATTCAATTTAAATTAAAGGTTGAAGTAAATGTGCTCCCTTTCTGGTAATAACAAAAATAAAATGAGATCAAAACAGAACTGAGAACCACTCAACCAGGATCACTCATTTCACAAACATTTCTAGGGCATCACCACATGGCAGATGTTTTCAGAGGCAATGTGTAAAAGAAAAGCGTTACAACTTACCCCACCGACTTTCTCAAAGTGAGATCCGTCTTTCTTAAAATCTGTGAGGGCCCCGTTGAAATACCAGGTAAACATGATGTCTAACAGTGGGTCGTGTTGCACCTGGCAGGGCAAAATCACGCTTTCGCCAACAGAAACATCCATGTTGGATGGTGCCAAAGTTATTTTCGTTGGTTCTGTTGGGGAAATAATTTTTAAGTAAAACTTTAGCTTTTTTTATTGTGATGAAAGCAATTTGCACAAGCAGACTGTTCACCTAACTTATAGTGTATATGTTTACAGATGGATATATATATCCATTTATATATATCCATATATCTCTATAATTATAAGTCTTCAAAACTAAAATATACATTTTTATGCAGGTCTATCATATATTTCACTGGACCTACAAATTTTTGTTGGAATAATTAGATGATCTGAATTTATAGGATATATATGTTTAAAAATTAAAGTCATCTACAGATAAGAGTTATAGTACCACTAACAAAATCAATTTTGGCTTAGTTTATTTAGTGAAATAGAGGAGGTAGAAATGGAAGCTACTATGTTTTCACCAACTTTGACTAGAAAATGCATGATCATCAAAATTTAAATAGACTTACACTTTTAAATGTTAGCATGGATTTGAAATATTGCATGAAAGATGTTTACAATAGGTACAATGAGAGGGGTACTATGTTAACGTGTTAATTATTGTTTCTTTTTCCCCAATACAAATGTCCACGTGCACATTTCTTTTTCCCTGACAACACAACCCACCTTCCATCTACTGTGAATTAAACTTCTCTCAGCCCCACGTTCTCCACTGCTACTCCCCATTTCTTTGTACCACATTGGAGCAAAAGTCTTTAAAAGAGTCATTTATGCATTTTATCTGTGATACTACTACTAAATTCCCTCTTTAACTCAGTCTACTCAGGTTTCTCCTTTCCAACCCACCTGTCCTCATCAAGGTCCCCAATAACCACTCTGGTGCATTATCCAGTGGTCAATTTTTGGTGTCCTATTACCCGACCTCTCAGCTATATCTGCTCTTCTCAATCGCTGACATATTGGTACATTTTCTTCCCTTGGTTTATGGGGCACCACGCTCTCTTAGTTTTCTCCTACTGTACTGCTCACTCCTTTTCTGTCTCCCTTTACGATCCCTCTTCTTTTCCTAAATCTCTTAATGTTGGAATGTCTCAAGCTCAGTCCTTGATTGTTTTTAAATTTCCTGTCTTCACTCACTCTCTTGGGGATTTCAGCCAGTGTCTTGGCTTCAAGTATCCATTTTGCTAACAAATGCATATCTCTGTCCTCAAGCTCTCTCCCAAATCCAGATTCGTCTATACAACTCACTACTCTGCATCCCCACTTGGGTGTTGTTCGTCATTACTTCCTCTGGGGCACACAATAGGATTAAATTTTGAATACTTTTGTACTCTGGATTAGCCAAATGCTTTGGCCAGTGAAATGTAATTGGGGTTTTTGGTTGCCCTTGCGGGGCGGAGTTTTGGAGGACTTATTGTTTATTTTGGTTGTTTTTTTTTCCCTTTCCTTGTTGTTGGGCCCCTTGCCGGTTGTTGGGGCCTTCGGACCCTTTTTTCTTTGACCTTGGCCACGTTGTTTGCCCACCCTTGGCTTTGCCGCTTGGGCAAAAAGCAAAGCTATGCTGTTTTAATCTACTGATATCTTGGTAAATCCATGATCTTCTTTATAGAGACAGAGCCTAATAAAGATCTCTTAGTCAACAAGTCCAATCTGAACTCCTGATCTTCCTCCTCCCCGAAGCTATCCAAGCCCATCCCATCTCCATTGTTTTGACTGCCATTCTTCTTCTTGTTCACCAACCACTGGGCAGTCACCCTTGTCTCCTTCTTTTCTCTCAGACCTCATGTTCAATTTGTTAGCAATTCTTGTTGAGTCTACAGGCAGAATATATGCAATATCTGACTCCATCCCATCAATTTTTTTGTTACCAACCTCATTTGGATCATGTCCTGTTTAGTTTACAGCAATGGTCTCCTGAGACCTCTCCTGCTTCTACCCTTGTTTCTCATGGCCTCTTCTCAATAGAGCAGCTAGACTAATTCTTTAAAAAGGTATTTCATATCATGTCATTCCTCTGCTCCAAATATAGCGTCAGATGCCATTTTCGATTTAGCTGAAAGCCAAAGTCCTAACAAGGTCCACAAATGGTCTGCATAATTGTCCCCAATCTGTTGGTTGACACCTTCATCTTCATGAAATCTTTGTCCAGATCTTTCCTTCTCAGTGAGGTTGATTCTGATCATCCTGTTTCTGATGGTCTAATTTGCCTCTTCCCATATACTCCTTTTTGTTTTCCTAATTGTTTACAATTTTTCCTTGTAATAATCATCTTATTTCTTAATCCCACTGCTTATTTTCTTTCTGCCTCTGGTAGAATGCAAGATTAATGAGGGTGGTCTCTCTGTCAATGAGCTCACTGATATAGCCCTAGCATCTGACACATAGTAGGTGCACACATATTTTCATGAATGAATAAATGAACATAATATATCCACAACTTTTAGCAACTCTTATTGATATCATGGTATTAATATCTCCTGGAATTGAACATCTCCAGAAAAGATCAATTATAAGGAAAAAGTATAACCAAAAGACCTCACATAACAGAATTTTATTTTACAATAAAATAAAAGGAGATCATCAACATATGCTATTTATAATTTGTATTGCCCATTATCCCAGAATAGTAACTGATGCATTCTCTGCATTCCCTGTGCACATTGTGCTATGTTAAATATTAAGAACCATTGCCTTGACTTTCACCTGTTAAAATAACATAAAGTGCAAACTCAAGTTCAGTTCTTCCTTCAAAGTGTACTGCACATACAGTCAGTTTCTTTGACCATAATAATATACAGAGCATCCCTATGTAAAGCCATATTTTAGAAATGCACTCACCTGTGACAATCAGGTGTGTTGTGCCATTTGCCTTCCCAAACTGGTTTTCTGCTGTGCAGGTGTAAATTCCAGCATCAGCTTTAGTCACGTTGGCTATTTTGAGTCCTCCATCTTTTAAAAAAGAAATTCTAAAGGAAGGAAATACAAATAAGATAATTAAATATATTATAGCTATTTTTTCCAAATAATTTTTTTTTAAAGAACATGTTGCCTTCAGCTAGTATTTTTAAGTATGATCAACCAGGATTTATCATTTTGGGAATAAATAAAATTAAGAGAAAATTCACACACACACACACACACACACACACACACACACACATACATACATACAATACACACAAACACAGAGTTGAGTAAGAAAAGATTTTCTGCCAATTCGAATTTTACATGATATTTTTACACATTATTACTTAACATTACAACTAAATTGGGGGCTGTATTTATCAAATGAGTATGAAATATTTTTGAAAAATATATGTTGTGGTAAATTATACATGGGGTTAACCTTATCAGTTTGGAGAAAATAAAAAGTAGGCATGAAACTACGTACCTTAAATTTGAAACAGTTTATTAGAAACAAGGAAGCTGCTTGTGTTTCATTATGAAATGAGAGAGTCACATTCAACCCAATAAAAATCCAAATTTTGGGAAAGAACATTTGGGTGGACACTTGTGAGCTAGCACAAAGAACCTGGGCGAGTCAAATAAACATTAGAGTTTTTGAGTGTACACTTAGAGTACTTAAAAGGTGTAGCATCTAACAATTAAGGAAATATAACAGAGTGCCTTACATGTGCTTGGCACTGAGAGTCCCTGTGATTATAGTGTGAGCAAAATAGAAAGTCTCCACCTTCGTAGAAACAATACCCTATGTGAGTGGCACAGATAGCAAATATTTAAATATGAGAAATTCTGATTTTTGAGAAGTACTCAGAAGGAGACAGACAGGGTGACATAATAAAGAACAATTGCTTCATGGAGTGTTTTCAGGATAGCGTGCTTCAGAAAAGCCTCTTACAAGGGGTGTCACTTGAATTAAGAAAGAGGAATGAGACAGGATTAATTTGCTATTAATCTGATCTCTGTATCTTTATTGCCCAACTTGTCTACCCATAATTATATTCTCTCTCCTGGAATTCCTAAAATCATTACTACCCATACCATGCATTTAACACTTAGAATGCCTGTCATCTTTTATGGCTCATGTCTTTGATACGTGGGTGTTGTACCTACAAAAGTGGATGATAAACTTTTTAAAAATATTTGCAACCCCGGGGTCTGCATGGCATCATAAAGGCAAACCGTGGTCATGAAATGCCTTCAACTTTTTAGGCCATTCTGCAGAGTAAACAGGAAAGATGCTGAGAACATTACATTGGAGTGGAGGATCTCAACTCAGTATATAAATATTACCATGTTTCTTGGAGGATTTTTAGGTATGTGTCAAAAATGTCACGACAAGTAGAAGTTTATGTATCAAAAATGTAAAAGATATGAATTTATGTTGTATATACATACATATTCCTTTATAACCTGCTATTCACTTTCATCTGCATCCTGGTTAGATTTTCTTCATGAGAAAGTAGTGGTGGAATTGTGAAACTAGTAACCAGCAAATAGGTTTGCAAATGTGGGTAGAGCTATCCACTAATTTCGTCGTACATGTGATTTAAAAAAAAAAAAAAAAACTATGTCAAAGTAAATTGAAAACAAAAAGAGTTTGAAAGTAGTGGCCTTCAAGACTAATCAAGGAACACATAGCAGTACGTTTCAATTTGAGAAACTACACAGAAAGGTTAAAAATTCCAAAAAAATGTCCTAGGAATCTGTAAACAAACAAAAAGTTTCCATATCTGATTTCCCTCATGGAACTTTGAGGGTTAAAATGTATTTTGTTGGGTATTAAATATAAGCTCATCACTTTTTTCTCTAAGAGATGATCAAAGAACTTTTAAGAAGAATCTCTTCAGAGGGGCACAGTGACTTGAGCCTGTAGTCCCAGCATTTCAGGAGGCTGAGGCAGAAGTCCCAGAAGTAAGGAGCGAAGCCTCTGGTCCTCATGAGGGTTGCTGAAAAATCACTGACATAAGGTAGATTGATTAACAGGAGAAAAAAATATACAAATTTATTTAACATGTTTACTCTGGAATGCTCAGAATGAAGATTCGAATCTTCAATGAGGTACAGAGCTTTTTAAAGAATGGGGCTCAAAAGCAGAAAAACAGGGACTGGGAGGGAGAGAGGAAGAAGTTTAAGGGAGCTAGCAAAGGCAGTCTTGTTATGTAAATGAAACCTTACAGGTAGCTGCTCACAAAGGGAATAAATGGTAAATGTTTCTTTTCAAACCTTTAATCTCGGTCAGACTCTAAATGAATCTTTGCTAGATTAGGTAAGGACAGACCCAGCTGTATTAATACACTTTCTCTACAGAAGTAAATTTCCCCTCACAAAAGACAGTTTTACAGTATTCCTTCTATCTGTGAGGCTCATGGCAGCCATCTCAAAATATGTCAAAGAAATATATTTAGGGGTAAAATACTTCTAATTTCCATTAGAGACCAGCCTGGGCAACATAGCAAGCTCTCATCTCTATTAAACAACAACAACAACAACAACAAAATTAGCCAGGCTTGGTGGTGTGCGCCTTAGTGGTAGACTAAAGAAGTGGTAGACTAAGCAGTGGTAGACTAAGTAGTTCCAGCTACTCAGGAGGCTGAGGCAGGAGGCTCACTTGAGACCAGGACAGGAGATCAAGGCTCATTAGCTATGATTGCGCCACTACACTCTACCTGGACGACAGAGAGACCCTGTCTCAAAAAAAAAAAAAAAAAAAATATATATATATATATCTTTATGTCTTAGCCTGAAGAGAAGAAAGATTTTCTTGATGAGCATGCACTAATAACTGAAAGAGGAAATCTATGAAGAAGAGAAGTAAAAATGAATGAAAACTTAGGATACGGAGACTGGAAATGTTTTGAGGAATCTGGAGAGAGTAAACATACAGAAATGTAAATCTGTAAAAGGAGGGGTCATCCTGCTCCTCCTTGGCCCTGCCCAACCCTTGCATAGCTGGCCCTCCCTAGAATCACATCTCACATCGCCTGTAGGCTGAAGATTATATCCTAAGCCGGAACCACATCCTCATATCAGGACCCGCCTCTTTCTACCTGCACGTGTTCTAGGGAACTGTATCCCTAACTTGCTTTCCACCAATCACACAAGCCTTGTTCTAATGGCTTTTTTTTTGCTTCTTTTTGCCTCAGGGCCTTCATAAAAACTTTTAAGTCGGGTTGACTTGTACTCATCCTTCAGACTTCAGTCCCTTCCCTAAACCCATGAGTTGGATTAGGTCTTCCTCTATTTGATCAAAACATCTTCTGTGTTTTCTTCATAGCGTCTTGCTAGTGGCTAGTTACGTATTTATATGTGCCTCTGATTAATATATTTTCTCCTCCGGTGGACTATAAGCTTTCTGGAGGTAGGAACAGTATTTGGGTCACTCACCTCTAAATTTCTAGAGCCTTGGAGAGTGCCTGGCACAGAGTAGATGCTCAAAAATAACATTGGTTGAACGAATAAATGACTACATGCCTTTAGAGAGTCACTACAGAAGAGGTGGGTGAAAATGGGTTGCAAGGCACTGGCATCTTATGAATAATATAGAAGAAAGTATGCAGACTATGACACATATATATGCACATATACACTCATACATACATACACACAGTCAGCCCTCCATATCTGTGGGTTCTGTGTCTGCAGATTCAACCAACCAAAGATCAAAAATATTAAAAAAATAATTAAATACATGATGATAATACAATCATAAAAATAACACATATAACAAAGCAATACAGTATAACTGTTCACATAGCATTTGCATTGTATTAGGTGTCATAAGTATTCTAGAGATGATTTAAAGATTCACAGTATACAAGAGGACGTGTATAGGTTAATTGCAAATATGCCATTTTATATAAGGGATATCCACGGATTTTGATATCGGAGGGGGTCCTGTAACCAATTCTTTGCAGATGTGAAGGATGACTATATGTACATATGCAGATATGTCACATATATATAATGTACAAATATATATATAAATATATATTTTATATTTAAAAAATATATGCCATATTTATTAATTTATGTATGTCATATTTATTAATTTATATATATATTACACACATATGTATATAAATGAGGCAATAGAAGACTGGATGAAGAGAATTTAGAAATGACTTCCCTAGGGTAAGAGCACTGAAAACATACTTGCTTGTTCTATCAGGAAAAAGTCAACGGAGAGCAAGAGACTGAAGATAAAGGGATAGAAGAAATGAGAGTGAGGGAGAAAAGACTCAGAGGAGGAAAGAGGGATTGTAATCAGGGGTGATGGCCCCCGACTCATTTGCATTGCTAATCCCATCATCAAAATTCTGGGGCCACAGCACCCAAAGAGAACAGTGTTTGATCCATGGTGTTGCTCAATGAATTTTACCTATCATTATTATTTAAAAGAAAACGCAGGAGTCCTGGAGACTTTTCATATGTAAAGACAGAAAGCTGGCAGACAACAGCAGAAAGTCCTGAAGACATTTATATGAGGAGACAAACTGATCTGCTCTGAGTTATAAGGTCCAGACAGAATGGGGAGCTCCAGGAAGCACTCCTGATTTGGGTACCACAAAACAGAGACAGGTAATTTGAGATATCTTCTCATGTTGTGAATTAGCCTAACAGCTAACCTTCCACTAGGAACGTGGAACTATTTGAAATATTAGAAGAATTTAGAAAACCTTCCGTGTATTAGGTTCAGTAATTTTATTCAAGCAAACTTATTTGCATGACCATGGTGAAGTGAAGAAGCTTCAAAGGCAAGGCCTAACACCTTAGGAATCAAAGACTCCAAAACAAACATATTGACTCTTGAAGAATGCAAACTCTGTGTATGTCGTAAAAATTTGAGCTAATTGGATATTTTCTTCCCCAGTTGGTTCTTCCAGTAAGTTCTAAGCGGCCCACAGGGCATTTTGCACAACACAAAAATAAACAATATTCAGTAAATGGATGGAGTAATTGTTTCTCAACAGAAAACCTTCAATAATCCATGCTTCCCTATGGA